CTCAGAGCCCTGTGTCTGCTGTGCTCTCTGTGTCCCCAGTCCTGCTCAGTGTCCGGTCCGCCTCACAGCTTCCTTGGTTGCAGGAGGGCATGGAGGTCCTTCCGCAGCTCTCAGAGCTCCGGGACCTGGCCAGCTCCGAGCTGCACCGTGTGCGGTCCTCCTCCTGGGAGCGATGCTGAAGCTCTCCGAGCCCAGGCCCACACACTCAGCACGTGTCCCTGATGTGCCCCTGTCATCCCCTCACATTCTCTCCACCTCTTGATGAAATAACTGCAGATGCTCAGAGCTGCAGGAGACCTCACATCTTCAGCCCCTGAAGGGGGCCATTGAGGGAGATTGATTTGCCTACAGCCTTGCTGAGGGGGGTCAGAACAGAAGCCACTGTTTCCAGCCCCTGTGTGAGCCTCTGGTCTGGAGATGTGGCCACCATAGAGGTCTAGGGCAGTGGTCAGCAAACTCATTAGTCAACAGAGCCAAATAGCAACAGTACGACGATTGAAATTTCTTTCGAGAGCCAATTTTTTAAAAACTTCTAACACCACTTCTTCAAAACAGGCTCGCCCAGGCTGTGGTATTTTGTGGAAGAGCCACACTCAAGGGGCCAAAGAGCTGCTTGTGGCTCGCGAGCCGCAGTTTGCCGACCTTGGGGATATGGTGTGAAGAGGTCCACAATCTTTTTCACTCATTACATTCCCATCCCCCTCCACAGGGACTGAGCTGGGCAGTGCACTGTAGGAAGCCGCTCATCCCCAGAGGTAGCCCAGGGGCCCACTGGCCTCACCCCCAGTTTTAAGGGCCTCCTGTGGAGGTGGCTCTGGAGCCCTTTCCAGACCTCTCCCTCTCCCTCTGCTGTCACAGATACAGAGGCCATGTTCCCGGTGTGGCCACCTCCTTCGGCTCCACCTATGGCTCCACCACCTTCAAGTACTTCCAGGACTGCCGCCAAGCAGCCATGGAGAACAGCCGCACCCCCTTCAGCAAAGGCGGCCAATTCCCGACCATCTTCTCCCCGAGCCCCAGCCTCCTGCAGAGCCGCTGCCGCTGGCTGCGCAAGCCCACCTACACCCGCTTCAACCTGGACAGCGACCGCTCCCTCGAGCTCACCCGCTTCTACCAGGTGGCCTGGGCCGGGAGAGACCGCTCACCCCCAGAGTCCTGGTCTCCCCTCACCCAGGGGCTCCGCTGACTCTTGCCCCTGCTCCGCCACCACTGACAGGAGAGTTGGAGCTTTTGGGGATGTGCCGCTCTCGCTCTGCCCGGTGGCCTCTCAGCCCTCTGGGCCCCTGCTTACCTCCTCCCTGAGTAAAAGACCAGAAATGCATCCTCAAGAGGAACCAGGCATGCACAAAGGGCCCACGAAGTGCCTACCTAGCTCCAGTCCCAAGCCTGCTCTTAACTGTACATGCCCACCTGGAGCCACGTGCCCACCTGACACCTGCTCCACAGGCCTCTGAGGACATGCCCCCAGTGGAGCTCAGCCCCAAACTGGACCCTAATTGCCCCTGAGGGAAGAGGCAAATAGAGGGGACCTGCCCACTCCCTAGTGTTCTTGTCCGGTTGCTCTGGCCTGATGCAGACCCGTCCTTGCCGGCACAGGTGCTTGGCTACCTCAGTGGGGGCCGGGCTCACCCTCTGCTTGGAAACCTCATTCTCACTCACCCCCTTGCAACATCCCTCCATCCTGGTCAAGGACATGGGTGCACAGGGAGCTCCAGGGAGATCCGGTGGCTGCCGTCAGACTCAGGTGCTGGGGGGCTGTCTCAGTGGGCCTGGCAAGGCCTTGCTCTCCATCTTGGCTCTCATTCAGAGCACGGACTGTTCAGGAGGGAGGGAGAGGGAGAAAGAAAAAACAGGGGCGAGCCAGGCCTCGCATGTCTCACTTCTGCTGGTCACTTGTCTCATTTACTCTCCATCGCGAAGCTGGGGAGATGCATGTCCTCATCCCCATTAGACAGATGAGAAGCCGGGCCCAGAGAGGGCACCCCGCTGGGGACTCCTCGGGAGCACTAGGGGAGACAGACACCACCCCTGCTCAGGGACAGCCAGGCGGGGACTGCAGGTGCCCAAGGTCACTCCTGCACACTCCCCACCTGCCATCTCTTTCTCGGTCCCCTGAAGCTGGCACAGCAGCATCGACATCACTACCGAGACAAGACAGGCCTGCTGCCCGGGATCCCCTACTTTGTGCTGCCTGTGAAGGAGAGTGAGCGGTACCCCATCCCCACCGACCTGTGAGTGCCTGTCTTCCCGCCACCCACGCACTTAACAAGCACGTGTCCACAGGGCACCTGCCCTCAGCCAGGCATGCAGGCGCCCAGACTGAGAAATGAGTTAAGGCCTTGCCCTAAAGAGCCTTTGCCTTAAAGGCTGACAGTTACAGAGCAAGAGGGCCAGGGTTCCGGAAGCCTCAGGATGCTAGGGACCTAGCCAGATGCACTGGAAGTTTGGGAGGAAACACCTTGGATTTTTGCTAGGCTACATTTGTAGGCTTCCTCCTTGCAATGGCAGCCAAACGCTGGTGCAGTGCTGTGAGCAGCTGCTGCCCTCTGATGGGCATGGAGGGTACTGCACAGAACAGGGAATCCGGGCCAGGACCCCAACCAGACTTGGAAAATGTTCTTTTAAGGACTTGAAAATAGCTTTCAAAGTCCAACAGTCAACATGACAAAATAAGAAAGTTCCCCCATGCCCGCACCTCACTGCTTTTGTCTGGGACAAATGTCCCCCTGAAAGATGATCCAGCACACGGTTTCCTTACTTTCCCTCCTGATGCCCAGGCACGGAGATCAGAAGTCTGTGCCATCAAGATGTCATGTGGGGTAGGGGGCATCAGGAGGTCAGCTAGAAGATCTTGGCTTTCTAACTCCATTCTGATCCCTTGCTTACCTCACGAGCTCTGAGTCTTGCCATCATCATTGTTGATGAAGCAGCAACTCTTTCCATAGAGGTTCCTCTCTGCAATACAGATGAGCTCGTTTTATAAATAGGAGCTCTGAGGCTTAGCAGTAGTCTCAGAAATGTGTGCCAGGTGGCAAGTATGGTGGGAGGTAGAACCTGGAGGAGCCCAGGTCTCCTGGTGCCAATGCTAGGGCCCCGGGTTAGGCATCTCCTTGGGGTGGCTCAGCATCGGGCTGAACCTGGAGACAGTGTAGGGCCTTTCCTGGAGTCAGATCTCCTCTTGAAACCATTCTGGGCAAGATTTGCACCCCCCACAGCTGTGGGGTTCCCAGGGCACCCCAGCTTTGCTTCTTCTCCAAACGCCTGGCAACCTGTCCTGCTGCTTGATGGCTTCTTGCCCAATACAGAGGGCCAACTGGGTGGTAGGGAGTAAGACAGTCAGTGCCTGCATTAAGCCCTTTCCTAGACTGCCTCATGGCCTGGGGCAAGTTCCTGGCCTTCCTTGAGTTTCATCACCACCAACAGCATCATTGTCATCATCACCATCACTACCATCACCAACACCATTGTTGCTATCATCAGCACCACCACCATCACCAACACCATCATCACCATTACCATTTCTTATAAGCTTTGTTGAGTGTCTGCTCCTTGTCCAGCATTATGTTAAGTGCTTTATATGCATTGCATCCTTTATTCCTCAACACAATAGGAATAAAGGGAGGTACCAACACCAGTTTGTTTGATATGTGTACACTTCTAGCAAGAGTTGGGCCAGAATCCATCCCAGGTCTGTCTGACATCCACATCTTCACTCTTAGCCTCTCTACAGTTGTGCAAACATAAGTTATGTCAACATGTTAAGCTGATGAGCAATCAGCAGGGTCAGGGTCAACGTGGGCTGGGAAATGGGCAGTCGGGGCTGTGGCTGGGCATTTTCACCCTCCCTCCTTGGCATAACACTGACTTTGTCTTTACCCCCAGGCCTCCTCTGAGCGCGAAGGATAAGTGGCACCTTTTTAGAGTCTCCCCCGACAACCGGAAGGTCCACCAGACATTCCCGTCGGGAAAGAGGGTCTCCTACCAGGAACGGCAGAGGAGAGACACCTACTTTGAGTTCAGATCGTGATGCCTGAGAGCCGTGACCTTAACTAGGCTAGCTCTTTGGAATAAAATCTATATCAGACCATCCCACACTCCTCTCTGAGCCCCAGGAGCACGTGGCTGCAGCAGGGCAGTGTCTGAGGATCATAGCACAAGGTCTTAAGGGCTGTGGAAAGCTCAGCCCAATGGGGTTCAAGCCAAGAAATAGTGGTGCCCAGAGACCTGCTCACCCACATCTCCCCTGAGGGGAAGGAGGTAGAACTGAGAACTGCAGGGCTCCTGAAGCTCAGGTGCAGAGATGCCTTCCACCTGCCTCCTAGTGTCATCCCTTCTTCCCCTAGCCCCCCTTCCCCCCAGAACAGTGTAAGAAAGAAAAACCATGTTCCCACCAGATAGGCATTTGACAGCTCTAGAGACCCCAGAGGGGCTCCTCCTGTGTCCCGGGGTCTCTGACCAGCTGGGCCCCAAAGAGTCCCTGTGGGGCCAAATTCATTCCAGGGCTTGGCCAAAGAGCAAAGCAAATAAACCCGGAATTCTGGTCACACACTCTCCCATCCCAAGGGCGCCAAGATGTCCTCTCCCTCGACCAGGGCTGGGAAGCTGGGCGCCAACTGGAATGAGCGCTATGAGCACCTCTCTGTACTACTTCATGGAGAATCCCGGTGGACTTCATCCCGTCTGCCCTGGCCCTGCTGGACGAAGGCTGGGGTCTAAAGCCTGCCCCCCAAAAGCTGGCCATTCCAGCCTGCTTGGCGTCAGTAGCAAACTTAAACCCTGGAATGAGCAGAAGACTATGTGACCCTGTCTTCAAAAAATGATGAACTGTCGGCAAAGAAACGGCTTTTCCTTCGCTTTATTAAATAAACAATATGCTCTAAGTGATGGTGGGATAGGGACAAAGTCATCCTTTTGATCAAGAGGCCCCTGGAGTCTGGAAGGGGTTGGATTCCAGTCCAGCGGTCCCCTCGGAGTCACCAGGTCAGGGATTTATGGCTACATCAGCATCCCCAGAAGTGGATCTGAAAGGAGCTGCAAGAATCCATGAGCCACTTGGAGCCTGTAGGTCCGGGATCGCAGCAGTCTTAGCAGCATCCTCCCGTGCCCACCTCGCATCCCTTCTCTGAGTAACGGCCAATTCGCAGCTCTCCCAAGCCAACCCAACCGTCTTTGAGCAACTCTGAGCATCACTAGAATGCAAAGGGTGTTAGAACTCGGTGGTTCTGGAACCATGGGAAGAAATGGGAGAGATTCCAAGGAAAACTCAATGCCGACAGGATTCTGGCCTTCATTGTGTGAGGAAGAAGAGGAATTACTCTTGGGCGGGGTGGTCCCAAATGTGGACCCTCTTACAGAGAGTCCGCCTAAGCCCAGCCCTCAGCAGCCACGCTGGAGTGGAGAGCTTCTGCTCCATCCAGGTGGTTAGAGGACGAGTGGACATCTGACCTGAGCTGGGCCAATTGAGTTCTCTCTCTGCAAAGTTGGAGTCACAGCTGAAGGTCATTACTTAGGAATCACTGAGGGTCATTTGAAGCCAAGGAGATGTAAACTTGGCCACTGTGGGGAGGCCATATTCTGCCCCCTGTCTGACAAAGCAGAGATGGCTGGTTTGCATGTAGAGCTAAGGATGGAGTTGCAGGGGAGAGAAGGCAGAGACCAGGCACTGCAAAGTTCCGGGTTCCTGACAAGTGCTCCCTGAGATCTGGGTCTTTTTTGATTGGTTTGTTAAATTGTTTTGAATGGGCATTCTTTCTTGCCATCAAATCACCTAGACTACAAGACAGAGAATGGAATAGGGCCCAGGAGCAGCTGATGCAGGCAGAGATGCCAGCAGGGTGCCCTAGCAGGCTGCCTCTGGGATGGTGCTGCTCTCCTCACCGGAAGACTCCAATCAAGCTTGTTCAACACGCCAGGGAAATAAGAAGGAGGCTGATTCTCTCCAGGTGACCATTAAGGCCCCTTTCTGCCTAGAACAAGGTTTGGAAATGCTCCAGTTCTTCTCTGAGCTGTTCCACCACCAGAATCTTCACATCCCTCTCACATCCCCAACTCCTAGTGACCCCTGGAGGCTGGGGGATGGGAGGAGAGAGGACCAGCAGTGGCAAAGGCAACTCCCCAGGTCAGAGCTAGAGCCCAGTGGGCGTTGGGAGCAGCACCTGAGGTTGGATCAAAGCCTAAATGCAATCCTCCTCTCACCTCCTAAACCCTCTGCCCCCTGGCTCCTTCTAGCATCCCTAATTTCTCAGCAGTGCCCATTTGGAAACTCATGAACCCCCCCCCCCCCGGAAGACAGAGGTGCCCCACTGGCCGAAGGGAGACTGGGGAGCCTCCCTGTACCCCACTATGCTGGGCATACCCCAGCCCCATCCCCACTCCAGAACACCTTACTTCATGAAGTCTGGAGCCTTGTTCATGGCATGTTCAAACTCTGAGAAAGACAACATGTTGTCATTGTCCAGATCCGACTCGTTCAGAACCTGGCCAGGGCGGGGGAGGGGCAGAGAGGAGCCAGGTTGAGAGAATGAGATGGGGGCTAAAGGGGTGAGGGGAGTCTGGCATGCAGAGGCTCCCTGCCAGGAGCTTCACACATCCCAGAGTCCCTGACCCCTGTGAGGTAGGGGTTTTCCTACCCCTGCTGCCATCCACCCCAGACAAGGACAAAGACATGCACGGAAATGAGGTCATGTGCCCTGATGGGCTGGTCTCCTGTGGGAAGAGCTCTCTTGGTGCCTCCAGCACAACGTGGGAGTGAGAAGAGTACAGGGGGAAGAGGGTGACATCTCCCCCACCCACTCCTGCCACTGGGTCACAAGCAGGGGCTCTGCACTGCAAAGGGCCAATTTGGGTGGAGGAGGCAGGGATGACCTCCAAGGTTTTCGTTTTGCTTCTGGTTTCCATCTGGACCAAAAGCACTTGAAGGTCCTCATGGTCTTAGGACAAGTGGAGCCACGCCCTGTTGGGGTTGAGAGGCTGTCTTCATGTCCACATTGGACTGTCACACTTTGGACTGTCTCTCCAGGACACCTGGCCATTATGTGATGCTGGACCATGTGGGGAAGGGGACAAGGTGATGTATTCCTTTGATGCCAAGCTGCTGTTGGGCCTCCTGCCTGCAGTGTTGGTGACAGGGGCTTTTAGGATGGGTGGTTTGGGCATACTGTTCTGGGGACCCTGGAAGGGAGTCATGGGAGGAAGTCCTGATCCTGGAGGAAAGACAGGAAGATGGGGGGTAGTTGCCTCCAGCCCTCAGGGCACCTCCCTGCCTGCCATCTGGGCCTTTAGGTGCTGGCCTGTCCCACCCAAGCCTGTGCAGCCCAGGCACACACGTGGGTCGTGAGGTCGGTCAGCAGGTCCTCTGACACGTCATCGCTGTTGAGCAGTCGGAGGACAATCCTCTGCAGGTCCTCCTCATCAATGAAGCCATTTTCATTAAAATCTGAAAAGAGGCAGCAGGGCCTGAGAGCAAGGAGGCACCGGCCAGGACCCCACAGACTCCCACAGCCTGTGGGATGCCGCCACCCAGCTGTCCCAAGTGGGCCTAGAACCTGGCACTCAGTAAGACCTGAGGAATGGGCACTACAGCAGCAAGGCCAGCTGCAGGTGAAGGTGGTGTTTAATCTATCTCTCTAATATATAAAATGCTAATATGCTAAGTGTCCGTCTGGGTAATGACATCGTGTGGAAACACCTGGCTTCCTCTCTGTAGCGACACTAGCCTCCTTGGAGTTTCTTCAGCCCAGGAACACAACTTGCTTTATAGCCAGGTGGAAACATTTTACTCTGTAACCAAATGTCTGTGAAGCATTTTCCTGTGCCTCATCTCATTTGATCCTCACAGAAGTCCTGGAATAAGTAGGTAGGAGACTTGGTGGAATCCCATTTTCTTTTCATTAGCTCGAAAATGAAAATTTAGAAAGCTTAGAAACTTGATCTGACTGAAAAGAAGTAAGAAATGGTGGACCTTAAAAAATGACTTCAGATCTGGAATTCTCCATGCTAGAGAAAAACTGTGCAGCTGCCAGAGATCTTGGGCACTATCTTGCATAAGCCACTTGGGGTTCCCTGTCATCTGCCCCCAAATTTAATCCTAATGAATTAATTACCCGAGCCTCAGTTTCCTCGTCTGTAAAATGGGTAATAGCAGTACCTCCACACAGTTGCTGGGATGATTAACTAAGCAAATACAGGGAAGCCAGCTGGCATGGGGTTTGGGATATAGAAGATGCTTATTAGATATAATAGAGATTCAATTCTCTATCACTTGATGATTCTTAAATACAAAAAAGAATGCAAACCTCGGAAAACATATAATATCCTGCTTTGGAGAGTGACAGCTGGAGCTTTATGGGGCCCAGAGTGGAGGAGTGAGTTTGCGGATGTCACAGGAGCCAAGACGTTTGTCCCTGTTCCCCACGGCAGGAGAGGGATGTGGCAGTTGCAACTAACCAGCACCCTAGGAGGCAGCTCCCCTGGCTGGGTGTTTGTCGGCCTCAGGAACTGGAGGCTGAGGCCCAAGACACTCCCCCAGGCTCCCCCTGCACAGCTTTGCCATCGGACACCATGGGCAATGGTGGAGGGCGCAGAGGGACTGTCAGCAGGCCGAGGCAGCGAGGAGCCACCGCAGTGACATTGCAGTGCTGGGAGAAGCTCCGCAGCCTCTCCCAGGGACCCTGCAGTGTCCCCGGCGTCCAGCTGGCCCAGCTCCCATGTGCAGAGACTGCAGCAAAGCGACATGGTGTTGGTCCCAAGCCATCTGGAAACAGAAGCATTTGCTGGAGTAAAATGTAGCCCTGGACAGTGCCCCTCCTTTGGGGGTGCAGCAGCCTGGGAAAGGGCTGGGGAGGGAGCTCTAAGCCGCTGGCCAGTCCCTGGGGCCTCAACAGCCTCAGGACCTGCAGCCTTGAGCCACTTGGCGGGGGATGGGGGAGAAGAGGGGGAGAGTGGGGAGCTTCCTCTTGCTGTTTCCCAACAAACGCGAATTTAGAAAGCTGTTGTGGTTGGGACTCAGCCTTCAGGTCACCCTAAAACATTCTTACCACCATCATTGCAATCTCTCTGTCATATTATCTTTGCAATTCACAAAGGACTTTTGCAAAAATGAGCCCATTGGATGGAGTCAGATAGGGCACACTTTCACTATTTTAGTCCCATGAGAATTGAGGCTGCCTTCCTGACTCCTTCCCAGCTACTAGCCCCTAGCGCTCTGGCACCTGCCTGAGGGTAATTCACATCTAGTGGAAGCAGGTGCTGATGGGAGCAGAAAGGCATGCTGGGATGCTGGTCTCTAACAGGCAGGAAATCTCCCCAGAGATGCTAACGGGGAGAACCGATCAGCTGGAGGCCGGGAGCGTCCCTCAAAGCAGAAACTTGGCCCCGTATGTCCCAGGTAGGTGTGGCTTGCCCTGCTCCGGATGCTTGACCAATAGCCATTCTTAAAGAGAACTGCAATTCTTGCTCAGGACAACATGGTCGGCTTAAAATATTCAGCTTTCTCCTTTGTAGTTGTGCGTAGCCACCTGACATCGTTCTGGCCGTAGTTGTTGGGCGGGGCTTCCAAAAATGTTTGCTAAGGGAAAGCGGACTTAACCGTGCCTTCCATTTGTGTCCGAATCCTTTCTTCCATCCCTTTTCCTTTCTGCTGGAATGAAGGTGAGATGCCTGTAGGCAAGCAACCACTTTGTGATTGGGAGGACCAGTCTCAGACTAAAGATGGCAAATCGGGATGTTTGAAGGCACAGTGGCTGCTTCCTGGAACCATTCCCTGGCTCCATGATGACTTGTTTTGTTTTGTTTTGTTTTGTTTTAATCTGGATACTTTTACTCATAACTGAATGCAATCCTAACTGAAACAGTCGGTCAGAGCAATAGTTCTCAAATTCTGTTCCAGTTTAGAATAACCCAGGGAGCGTTTAAAAGCCCACCAAACAGGGCCTATCCATCATCCATTACCATTACATCCAATCTGCAGCAGGGCGCAGCACCCATAGGTCGTTAAAGCTCCTCAGGTGAGTCCAATATGCATCTGTGCCTGCACCAATCAGTGAGAGCCGTGGGTGTCAGCAAATCTCGGCTCACAAGCCACATGAGGCTCTTTGGCCCCTTGAGTGTGACTCCTCCACAAAATACCACGGCCTGGGAGAGTCTATTTTGAAGAAGTGTTGTTAGAAGAAGTTTAAATTTAAAAAATTTGACTCTCAAAAGAAATTTCAATCGTCGTACTGTTGATATTTGGCTCTGTTGACTGAGTTTGCTGACCACTAGAGCTTGAACTTTAAGGTACAGAGGAACCACCTGATTCAGTAGGTAGGGGGTGGGGCCTGAGAGTCTCGATTTCTAATAAGCTTCCCAGCAGTGCAGACGCTGCTGGTGCATGGGTCTCACTTGGAGTGGCAAAGGATTGGAGCACTGAGTTCGGTCTTTGGACTTTGGCTAAGAGTGATCACCACGGCCATTATCATCCTCCTCTTCTACTCCCTATCCCCTTCTCTTTTCCCTTCTACGTTTCCCTCTTCTTCCTCCTCCTTCACGGCTGTCACCACCACCTCAATATCCTGAGCAGCTTTCACGTGCCCCATCTCTAATCCTGCTGACAGCTGGGTAAGGTGACAGATCTGAGTCTGGGGTTTGTGTGGGGATATCTGATGGAGCCTGGGCGTGTATGAGTCCCTAGGCATCTATCAGCACAGCTGATGTGCATAAAGGCTCGGAGCTTCTTGTTTTTGTGTTTGAGCCCATGGAGGAAGGAAACCATTGGAGGGGACCTGGAGAGGAGGGGTGGAGGAAGAGACAAGGACAGCGTGGGAGACAGGTGGCGTCTGCCCATGATCGGATCTGAGGCACTCTGCCGGGCCTCTTGGGAGGGAGGGCATTCTCCCCACTTCTGAGCGGAACGCAATTCAGCTCCTGTGTGTTGGAGCCTGAAGAGAATCAGCGGCTCTTCTTGTTCCCTGGAGGTGTAAATGGTTTTGTTTGTTTAGCTCTGGAAACCATGGAAAGACAGCGAGGCAGCCGTCTCCGGGGACCTCTGCCCAGCTTACACTTTGCCATCTCGGAGAAGTGTCCCCACCCCCAGCCTCTGCAGCCATGTCTGTTCCTGCGACTCTGATTCTTCCTGGCCAAGGCTGATTGGCCAAGGCTGGTCATCTAACCCAGGGGTAATGGATCACTGGTTTGGCTGAGCCAACCAGCACCTCCTGAGAACATGGAAATGAGAAAGAGCTGCTTGTGGCTAGTCAGAGCGAAGCCCAGGGGCCAGGTGTGGGGCCAGGACAGTCATCTTTGGCCTGTTGGGTCAGAGACAGAAAGGTCAGATTTGCAGAAAGAGAAAGTGCATAGGGAGAAGCAAGCTTGAGAGGTTAGGCAGCCATGGAGAGAAAGGAGAAAGTCTCACCTCCGGACCATCTGCCAAATATCTCCCCCCTCTAAATATCTTTTCTGCTTGTTCATTCTTTCCTCTCCTCCTGAGACTCTAACTGATTATATGTTAGACCTTTCTGTTGCCCTCTGTGTCCCCAAGGCTCTGTTCCTTCTTTCTCTTGATATTTGTTCAGGTTAGATTATATTTCTATCGATCTATCTTTAGGTTTGCTCGCCCTTTCCTCTGCCACTTTGATTCTCCTGTGAAGCTGTCCAGTGATTTTTATTTCAGATATTTTATATTTTAGTTATAAATTTTCCACTTAATTCTTTCTTGACATTTCTATGTCTCTGCTGAGAATGTCTATATTTTTATTCATTGTGAACATACTTTCTTTTATATCATCATGGTTATGATAGCTGTTTTAAAATACTTATCAACTAGTCCAAACATCAGGGTCATGTCAGAGCCAGTCTCCATTCTTGAGAATGCATCCATTTTTAAAACAAGTTTTGTATATTGACTAATTTTGGATGATATATTGGACATTATAAATACTTTGGTTGTGCAAATTTCATATTCCTCCAAAGAGTGCTACATTTTTTGTTGTAACAGGCCACTGATTGGACTTGAACTGCTAACCCTGTGACATAGGGTCCTTGTTAAAATGCAGTGGCAGCTCCAGTCTCAGCTCAGTTAGGTTACCCTCACCTCAGCTGATTTGAGTATGCCCGTGGACATGTGATGGAGAGGCAAGAAGGAGATCTGGGCATAGTTCTTACACGACTGTGGGCACCTTTTCTCTGGCTTTCTTCTTTCATGGACTCTCCCCTTCTTTTCATTTTTTCAGGGGAAAGTGCCTCAACTTCTCTGATTCTTCACATCAGAAAGCGTGCAGAGTTTCTGTCAGCCCTGCATGATGTACTCACTGAAGCCCACTCTCAGGCTAAACACGTTTTCTTTCTTAAAAAGACAGGAGAGTGTCATTTCTTTCTTTCAAACGTCAGCCCCTCTCTAGAATCGAGTTGCTTTTGGTAGCTTCCCAGTGCCACCAAGTAGTTACTATATTTCATTTAGCGTTTTTGATTGCTATCTGTGAAAATGGCTGCAATAGGAGGCTACTCAGCCATTGTCAGTAGGGCAATCTGTGATTGTGATTGAGTCTACTGGATACCGACCCTGAGGACACATAGGATTCAAACATAGCATTAAGCCTTTTTTATGGTTGGGAAAACTGAGTCCTCACAGGTCCATCTGGCCTAAAACTCTTCCTCCTCATCCTCCCCACGTCCACGTGGGCGAGGCAGGACTAAGAGGGTGTGTGCATGTGGATGAGTTGGCAGGGACAGGAGGCAGGTGAGGTGCCAACATGGATAAGCCTAAGTGAACAAGTCCTTTGGGGAGAAGGAATGGTCACATTGAGCTTAAAGCCTTGCCTGTGGTCTATTCGTAGGTTTCCCGAGATTTCTTTAATTTTGATTCCTTTTGAGAATGGCAGGCAACCTCGGCCAGGAAGAAGCTCAGTCGCAGGAACAGAGGTGGTTGCAGAGGCTGGGGGTGGGGCCACTTCTCCCAGATGGCCTGCTGAAGGGCAGAAATTTTGCAGAGCCTTTGGCCCAAGACAAAACCAGAGACAAAAAACAGCCATAGGACCTCAGAGATGATCTGTCTCAGCTCTCCTCATTTAGAAAAATGAAATGATTTGCCAAGATTGCTCAGTTATATAATGGCTGAATTTCAGCGTTCAAATCTTTTAAGTTTTACACCCATAATGTAATCTCTATCTCTATCTCTATCTCTGTCTCTATCTCTGTCTCTGTCTCTGTCTCTATCTATCTCTCTCCTGCCCCCACCAAGATCATGAAATACCAATGACCATTTGTTTGCCTCTGATGACAGAGAGGAGAATGTATCAATCCATTGGAATAATAACTGTCAATTCTGTTTTTAAAATCTACAGTCTGGACAAACATGAAAATACTCTTAAATACCCAGTAAAACCCAATTAACACCAATACACTGATGTTGATGGATTCCAGACGTGGTATTTACTCTATGGCACGTGTCTTCTCCCTGCCCTCCCCCCACCGCCCCCACCCCATCACTCAACCCCCAACAGCACTCACCGTAGATGCGAAAGGCATACTCGATCTTCAGGCTGGGGCAGGCCTGCTCACTGAACACCGACGCCATGCCCAGCACGTCCTCAAAGGAGAACACGTTGTTGTGCGAGAACACGCGGCAGATCCGGTCTCTGAAAGGGTTAACCTGTGGGTGAGGAAGAGGAGGAGAGGGTCCTACCCATGCCAGGCTTGTGCTACCCTGAGCCTCACTTACCTTACAGTGTGATGAGTTTGAGAGGGAAGTAATAGCAACAACCTGACTATTGGAGTCCATGAGCGAGGACCGTGAGAGAGGATACGGATGATAGAGCAGGCTTACCATCATTCCTCCCACTGCCATCTCCCACACCCACCTTCCAAAGGTGTTATTCTTTTTTATGGTTACTGATTTTTCTCCAGTTTTTTGTATAAACTTAGATAATATCAAAATAATAATAATAATAATAATAATAATAATAAATAATAATAAAAATAAAGAATGGGATACAAATTGTTTGTAATCCACTCTCCAGTAAGAGCCACTGGCAACATATGGGGGTAGAGGTCAGCCAGGACTGGATTTAAGTTTTTTGTTCTTTGTGGGGTTTTTTTTGCTGGTGAGTGACCTTAGCTTCGGCAAATTACATAATCTCCTAAGCTTTCTCATCTACAAAACAGGATGGGATAATACTGTATCCTACCTAATCATTTTGTGGTGAGGATTGAACAGCACAGCTTTAAAATTACAGAGGGACAGATAAATACCACTCAACAAATGATAACCATTAGTTATTACTATGGATATCAGCAATTTTCTCTTTTAAACCAAGCTATTTCTCAAATTAGGAACCCACGTGGGTCAGGGTCATGTGATTTTAGGAACCCCTGGTGTCCCTGACAGGGGCCTGGCCAGGGGTGTGCAGGAGAGGGCCCTCTGATGCCCGCCGGAATCACAGGGTTCTGAGCACACACCCAGCTCCGAGGCAACTTAGCAGATTTTCCACCAAAAATGAACTCAGATTCTTCTGATGCTTCAAGGTAAATGTGACTCATGTGAACAGTGAGTAAGAGGTTATTTTAAAAATGAGATTTTTGTTGTTGAACACATGTGTTGTCACCTAGAAAAAAAAATGCTTGTAGCTGCATACCCGAGAATATTAGACACAGATGTTTAATGTCTGTTTGAAAAGCATCCCAATGGAGAGAGGGTCAGGGGTTCTGAGCCCATTTTTTTTAAGGATATGAAAATGCGATGCTTTCCATTTTGCTTGTAAAGAGCCGCTGACTGACATAAGAGACGATGGGCATCTACTAGCTTAACGCCAATAAAAAGCCCTTAATTGGTGGGTGAGACTGATAATGAACGCCATAATTTAATACAGCCTACGCCACATTTCTGTTCTACGGGTTAGCTCTGACAGCCATAAAGAATAAAGTCAGTGAGAACAAGACCTCCAAACACTCTGGGTCAAAGGTTAAAGCAAGATTTCACAGAATAATGAAGCCCATCAACCATATTGCGTTTCCTTACCCTACTGTTATTAACGATAAGCCAACGATTAGATTGTGGGTGGAAGGAATTTTGTTCTATAAAATTTTGCGTTATAAAATAAAATTTTATGTAATATTATATTTATGTAAAATATCTTAGCATATTTTATGTAATCTTTCGCTTTGATCAGTTAACATTGATATTATAGTAGAGGCACCTCATTTATAGATAATATACATATCTTATGGCTGCACGTTCCACATTTTTTTTTTTTACTACTGGGATGCACGGAGACCTCTGATCTGGACTGGCCCCTCAAACCCCAGATGTGTCAGTGCAGCCTGGAGGGGAAGAGGCACTTGCCCAAGGTCATCAGTCTAAGACCCAGGGCTCCTGCGTCTGCCTGGCACTGTTTCACACACACACACACACACACACACACACCCCTTCCCCATGGAGCCTCGTGGGAAATAAACATCAGAGAAAAAGATGGTGATGGAGGCAGAGCATGTGACCTTTAAAATGTGGGAAACCTTGGAAGTAGAACCATCTTCAAGTTTTTACTTGAATAAAAAACAAAGCATTTGTTGACACCAAGCACAAAAGCAGAGCCCAAATCAAAGTCCAGGGAGTGGCAGCCTGCGCCTGAGAGAGCTCTGTGCGGTGGGCGGTGACTGTGGATACAAATGTGAGATACACATTTCTCATTGCTGCAGGAGGGAAGGAGCAAATGCTGTGGGAGGGAGAAGCCAAGAGGCCAAGGTGAAGGCCACCAGGAGCCACCAGGCTGGGGAACGATGGAGGAGCAGGGGACCCTGCTCCTGGGAGGCCCGGCCACAGAGCTATCCATCCTCTCACCCCCACACCCCGGAGGCCAAGGGAGGGCTGGCGGTCTCAGGGAGGCCTGCCGGACACCTGCCAGGAGGGTGTCCAGGGCCTGTCTCTGTTCCAGCAATGGCAGCTCCTCTCTCCCCAAAGCTCCTGCCTCGTCTCTCCTGGGAGGGAGGTGTCAGGGCATGAACTTCCACTGCGACGAGGTGTCCTCAGCACAGACACAGCGTCACGCAAAGGGATGCCAGCGGCGCTGCAGGAAGCTTTCTAAGGGCCCAAGAGATGCTTCCTCTGTGCCTCGCTTCCCTGCTCCCTGTCCCGAGCCAATGCCGGCTCAGTGGGTGTCCTGGGCTCCAGCCCGGCCCCCAGCACACAGAAGAACAGCTGGGAAGAGGCGGGGGAGGGAGCGAGGCTCATGAGTGATCCCAGTGCCAGTGCGCTGTCTTCCAGATGTTTGTGGCCATGATTTTAACAACCTGAAGTCTGAGCCAATAAATCCCAAGGTCTAACCAGAGTTACGGCCTGCGTCCCCGTTCACACCCGTCGAGAAGTCTCCCATCCTCCGGAGGAGGAAGAGGATGACAGCTGACAAAGCAGCGCTTCCCTCTGAGGAATAGCAGGCACCCTCGTGTGCAGGCATTCTGAACAAGAGGACATAAACACGTCAGCGGGGGGATTTATGCAGGTAACTCAGTAGTGCGGACTCCATCGGTGCATGATAAAACCAGAGACGGCGAAAATAAACTCCAAAGGCTGGGGATTTTTTTTTTTGGAAATAGAAACTACAGTTTGTTGATAATAAAACAATTACAGCCCCTGCCAAAACCCAAAAAAAAGTTAACAAGAGATTTGATTTGAAGATGAAAGTCAGAGGGAAACTATTTGGACGTAGCTTAAAAATATCTCCTCTCCATTTCCCCAGCTAGCATGTAGTCAAAAAGGGCCTTTGACAGTTGCTGGAAAAAATTCACACAGAAATACGCTCGTGACTCAATAACGACGACATTGACGCACTTCCATTTTTAAGGTCTGCTTTAAAAAAAAAAAAATCAAACAGTGCCATTTCACTTAAAATTTCTCATTGCTAAGAAAGTGTTCTTCATTTTTTTGGTGTTTCTTATTTTTGAATAATGTTTTATTTTCGTTCATTTTCTCTGCGACCAACTCTTTTTTTTAAAGGATATGATTGATGTTTATATTTTTTAACAGATGTAGGGCACCTGTCAAGGGAAGGGGTGGATGGAGGTCTCTGTTGAGAGGAAAAGAAGAGGCCAAACCCTCCTAGGTCCTGAGTGGAGGCTGAGGTTACTGGGGAAATGCTCCCCGAAAGGCCCCTCATGGTTTTGTGCAAGCTTGGGCGAGAAACCATTGAAAAAGCTACAAATAGGCTGAAACCGGTTTGGCTCAGTGGATAGAGCGTCAGCTTGGGGACTGAAAGGTCCCGGGTTCAATTCCGGTCAAGGGCATGTACCTTGGTTGCGGGCATATCCCCAGTAGGGGGTGAGCAAGAGGCAGCTGATCAATGACTCTCTCTCATCGGTGTTTCTAACTCTCTATCTCTCTCCCTTCCTCTCTGTACAAAATCAATAAAAAATATATTTAAAAAAATAAATGTTAAAAGAAAAGGCTACAAATAGGTTACATATGTTTAAGAAAGTAGAGACAAGCGTGATGAGAAAAACTATAAACCCACAGATTTAGGAAGCTCCATAAAACCCAAGTAGAAGAAAGTTGAAGAAAACTCTACCATGGTACAGCATAATCAAATTGCTAAAGGCCACTACGAAAGAGAAACATGTTTCAGGAGTGAGGAGAGGATAAAATGACAATAGATTTTTTCTCAGAAACGAAGCAAGTCAATGAAGCAATGTATTTAACTCTCTGAAACAAAACAAAACAAAACAAAACAAAACAGCTCTCATCCTATTGTTCTATACCCAGCAAAAATATCTTTGAAACCTAACGGCAAAAAACTTTTTTCCCCCTGACAGATAAAAGCTGAGTGACTTCATTAGCACAAGGCCAGAGCTAAAAGTCTATTAAAAGTAGTTCTTCAGGGAGAAGGAAAATACCAGGAGGAAGCTTGGGTCTACACAGGAATGGAGCACCAAAAATGATAAATAGGTGAGTACAGAGAGAACTTTTTCTCATTTCAAATTCTTTCAAGGAGACAAATCCACATTATAGCTGGAGATTTCAACACCCTTCTATCAGTAATTGATAAAAGGAGTAGAACATAAAATTATTAGGGATGTAAAATACTTGAAAAGACAACTTGAGAATACTATCAGCCAACTCCACCCAACATGGTAGTATACACTTTTTTTTTTTTCAAGCACACTTAGAACATTTACCAAGATAGAGCATCTGCTGGGTTTCAATAAATTTAAGAAGATTTAAATCAGACAAAGTATGTTTCCTGACCTCAACAAAATTCAATTAGAAATAAGTAACAGCCAAAACAGGTTTGGCTCAGTGGATAGAGCGTCGGTCTGAGGACTGAAAGGTCCCAGGTTCGATTCTGGTCAAGGGCATGTACATTGGTTTCAGACACATCCCTAGTAGGGGGTGTGCAAGAGGCAGCTGATCCATGTTTCTCTCTCATCGATGTTTCTAGCTCTCTATCCCTCTCCCATCCTCTCTGTAAAAAAAAAAAAAAAAAAAAAAAAAAATCAATAAAATATATTTTTAAAAGAAAAGAAATAAGTAACAGAAAGATATCTTGAACACCCTCAACGTCAAAGAAATCAAAAGGAAATTAGGAAATAATTTGAACTAAATGAAAACGAAAACAAAGCATATCAACATCTGTGGTATTCAGTGAAAGCAGTGTATATATACCA